GCTGAACCTGTGGAGGGCAATATATAACACACAGTTTTAACGCCCTTACTTGCAACTGAATGTAGCATAAGGGATCAACCCTCAGCAAAGGAAAAGGGCTCCCTTCAGGAACAGTCACAAGGCTCTTGAAAACAAACAACTTGTTCTTCAGTCAAGGAAGCATTTCTGTGAACTAAATGGTTATTCCAGCCTCAGCCTGTTGTCCTCTGTCTCCTGTTAGAATTCCAAGTTTAATAATCTCATACCCTTTTTCATGCAGTCCTTAAATCAAAACTGGGGATAGCAATACTTGCTGTATTGCTTTTTTGGCTGAGGTTCTGATTAACAGCTGTTGACCACCTGATGGACTTCTGCAAAGGCTGATGGCCAAAGCAGTCTCCAAACAGAAAAGGCAGTGACAAATCTAACGCTGACAAGCAAAATGGCCACAGATGCCCAGCTCTCTTCTCCACACCTCCAACATCCACAGGATCTTCAAACCAGACACCCCTATGGCTTGGGTATCCTCAAAGTCAACTGGAAATTCACTCAAGTCTTGCTACTGCAGTGGTTCAAACCTGACAGGTGCTAGGGCTGTTCATTCCATAGGGAAACGATTTTTAGCAGAGAGATTTAATCTTTAAAAATACACTTTGGTATTTCTCATCACTGAAAAGAACACCAAATAGTCAGATATTAAGGTATCGTCTGCTCTTATACTCTCATCCCAGTGATCACAAAAACAAGTCCCAGTTTTATGGTAGCCATATGCAGGAGTAAGATGTCACCTACTGTAATCTTATTTTCAGTGCTGATGGGAGGAGCAGGATCCAGTCCAAGCTGAAGCCGTCGCTGCTTTTCACAATAAGCTTTCCATGTTTCTTCATTGAATCCATAATTAAAGTAATCAGAAAGATCAGCACCTGACAAAGGGAGTAGAAGTTAACACAGAGATTCCAGCAGACATGCGTTCTCAAATTGTCCTTTATCCGCTTAAATGAAGAGTTAAGAATTAACAAAAATCTTCAGAGAGCACAGCTTACTCTCCATTTCATCCTGTGAGAAAGCCACTGGGTGTCACAGTGCAGATGGCTGCATCTTTTGGTGGAAGGGGGACTACAGCGTGAACAGCACTGGGACCATCTGGGACACAGAATACAGCACGTACGCAGGCTATTGGAAGAGATATCTGCAACCGCTTATTCACCAACTGGATTTTTTCAGACTGGTTTCTTGCAATTGTCCAAATGAGTCGAGTGCTGGGAAAAGCACACAAATGATGGCTCCAGCGACCACCACAACAATGGGATTGGTGCCACAGATCCTTTCCCTTGGCAGAGCTAAGCCACCGTGTTCTGCTCCTGCCCATCACAGCCGCTGCTGTTTTGAGGAGAGTCTGGGACTCACCCATTTTGTGAAACAGGGCTAAAGAGGAAGTGCTTTATTGATAGGCCTCAGACTTCACAAGTAATGACAGCTCAGTCATGATTCTAACTATGGCCTTCCAAGATTGCTATCCACCTTTGACAGCCTCC